ATGGGACATACATTGGAAAAATGTGGGTGTTGTGTGGGGGACGGGTGGAAGTGTTGCATGCAGATTCTGAGAGTTTTGCATGAGTATGAGAATCTGAGACATGTATGAATGCCAATGTTAACGGTTAGATTGTATGTGGTTTTACCCAGTTGCCCAGTTCGAAGTGAAGTGAATCGTTAAACTATAAACATACGTTCGTCAGATTTGAAAAGGCGAAGAACCCTTTAGTAAATGGGCAGGTAACCGAGTAGTGGTGGCTCAACTGATTTTCTTACTCATCACCAAACAAACTTGTGAGACAATGCCGAGCATGTGTGCGAAAAATATAATGATAATTATGATTTTGAGTGTGGTAATATTGAATTGTCCATGTGGAATGAGCTAACTCACGGACACAGCAGCTACCCGGGAGGACAAAGCTGTGGTGGCATCTATGTCTCGCAACCCGAGACGTGGTCGTTTCACCGCGGACTCAGATGTGTTGTCGGAAAGATGAGATTGGGGTCGCCTGGATCCTCCGACTCGAGAACTCAAGCCGGTCAACGTCGTAAGTAACTGATCGCGTGAATGGCCAGGCTGAGGATCGGGTATCATGGTTGTTGGTGACGGGGGAACTAGCTTCGTATGCTGAATAAACTCTGTCACTGTGGGAGAGACCAAGTTACAAAGTTAACGGAAACAATAGGGGAGTTTTTGATTTGGATTTTCATCATCTCTACTGCCGCTTGGAAGGGGAAAATCTATAAGGATCACGGTAAGCTCAAGGTTTTTACAACCTGTTTATTTCTTCCCCATTATCGTACTTTGTGCAGAACTTTTAAACATATTCGAAACAAATAAACCGAAAAATGTTGGCAAGTTTCACGTGGTGGTATATTGTAAGTGCGCATGGATAGAGGCGACCTAGTGGAGCAGCTCCATTTGTAAGTATTTTTTTATAAAAATGTAGCTGAAAACTAGAGTTGAACTGTTCATCACCAGAGAAATGTCATGAAAGCATCAAGTGGCTATTGCACTCTTGTTAAGAACTACCAGCAGTAAAAACCCAGCGAAATAAAATCTAGTCCGGTCGTCAGCAGCTACTTGCTACTAGTGAACGGGAAGTGCAACAGGGGTCATCCCTTAGTTACATGAGGCATATCGGATTTAATCAGAGAGCGAACAGAACCACCATTGAAGAACTATTACGTAACAAGTTCAAACGACGGAAACGAAGAACTCTGAAACTCACAGAAATCACAATGTCCGACAAAAATTTATTTTATCGGTTGAAAGAAATCATATAAGTAAGCAGGTTTCACCGTGGAAATACCTATGCTGCACATAGTGACTAGTATTTTATGCAAAAAAATTGAACTAGGTGACAACAATAAACGCACTTCAATCAAGCGTACCGCGACGTTGAGTAGATCATACATTTGAAATTATCCAGCGGTTTATATATTTTCTAAACGATCAGCAGAAGTTGCGGAATATACCCATTAAATAAGAACATAAAATATGCCTTCGGTGCATTAATTTTCGAGCCTGGAGAGTCACATTTATATGAAACGAAATTTAATAAGGTTAAACAGAAAGCGGATGAGTCGTGTGTGGCAATGAGTCCGAGAGAAATTTCTACATATTGTTACGTTCCTTGGATTACGTAATCCAAATAAGTTATGTTACACCACTGTCCGTGCATCACGTTTCCAGAGCACTTTCGGCAGCCGGAAAGAACTATAGGTAAACTGAATAAGAAGGATTGGCACTGATTTTCGCATTCAAGAAGTTCCGTAAGACGGAAGAAAATACACCCTACTCACTGATCACAAACCGCTGCTGTCCATTTTCGTTACGAAGACAGGAGTCCTAGGAAACACTGGAAATCGGTTAGAACTTTGGGCCACAATGCTAGTAGGTAATGATTTTCACTTACGTTTTATTAAAACGACAATTTTTGACAGACTAATAGCTAATCATGGCAGTCGCTTTTCTGAGGAGGATAGTGCGATCGCATCAATAACCATCGATTCTGATGTTCGATACATATTTGAAGATGCAATTCGCAGCATACCAGTTACCGCTACAATGATCCNCAATGATCCGGCTTCGGACATCGAAGGACAAATTATGGTAGGATGCGATGCTTTATTGTAGAACCTGATGGTCTAAAAACCTCAAAAAAGGCCTTATCAAGAATTTTTCGAACAAACAAGAATGTTTGATGCTCGGAGAAAGAGTTGCTGTGCCTCATACAATCAACTGTGTTGTAACAATTCCATTATGGTCACTCTGGCATCAGTCACATAATGATGATGATAATGATAATGATAATAATAATTGTTGATGCATATTCCAAATGGCCTAAAGTTATTCCGATGCCTGTTATAACTGCATCTACTGTTACCTCAGAAGATTATTTGTCCAGTTTGGCATGTTAGAAGTCCTGGTTTTAGATAACGACCAACACTTCACATCTTCACAATTCGCTGGGTTCCGATCGTCAAATAGCACCCGCCATGTTCGCACTCCAGTGTATCACCCGCAATCGAACGGTTAGGTAAAACGATTAGTTGATACGTTTAAACGCTCTCTGATCAAGTCACAGTGACATGGTGAAACACAACAGTCCATTGATGTATTTCTCCTCACTTACTGCTCGGACACCAAACCAGCTAGTCCAGAACACAAGTCCCCGGTTAAAGATTCGGGCTAGTTCTTGATGCCATGAATTCGACCTCGCAAGATATTACAGAATCACACACTACTAAAAATACTAACATCATATTGAGAGAGTTTAAGGCAGACGCCCGTTGTCACGTACGTGATTTGCGAAACGGATTGCTGAAATAACAAAACGAGATGGATCCGTCACATGTGAAGTCACAGTGGGACATTTCCTATGGACTAGACATATCAACCACTGCAAACCTAGGACCGGGTGACGATTCAACGAAACGCACCTCTGATCACATACTCGCAGACTTACGGATTGCGAACACAAGTCGGCCAGACTTCAGTACATAAATCAAAGCAATCAACAACTAGAAACTGAGTTCCAATACGCTGACTGACCATCGAGCACAAGAATCAAACTTATGAGTCATCAGTGGTGTGTTCGATTTCATCTTTTGAAAGAAGGGGTGTGTGACGAGAGCTCAAATTCTGTCGCAGCTCATTCGCATTGGAAGTCACGTGACTGGTAGGCAACTAGCAACCTTACCGGCATTGACGGGTCTAATTATAATATATAATATAATATAATATATATATATAATATAATTATAATAGTTCATACGATGACCCTGTAAATCATGTCGACACAATCACAGTCAGCCTGCTTCAGTTCAGTGGTTTGTGTTCTTCGTGAACCAGGGGCGTACAGTTGAAACAATTCGAGAGTGATGTGGGCATCTGATCACTGTCACTAAGATGCTGCATGATCGTGGCTTACACCAGTCGATCGAACACTGACTCATCATCATCGTACAGTGAAGCGAACTTCACTGATTNTACACATTTTAATGTGATGAACAACAGACGGGGTAAAACCCATATTCAAGAGGATCTGCTGTTTCTTAATGGAAACCGGTAACCTAAGCCCCGCGAACTACATAAGACCCTTCTGGGTTACGCATGGTACTGAACCGGACGACATCAAAGCTGTCTACTACCAGTTGGGTGGAGGGGCTGGAACCTTAGACCATACGGTCTAAAGCACACCGATGACAGCGACTAAACAACTGCGCCACCACCACCCTACTCACAGTTCATAATTACAGAGAATTATCGAGAGTTACATCGAGTACATTCAGGTTTCCTTATCAAGTGCAAAAAACTTAAATTCGGCTTATTTCTTTTGTCATGCCTTCTGTGACGACAAGCAGCGGAGTTATTGCACCATTAGGACGAATAAAAGTCACTGCTGCATAGAAAAAACTTGCCAAAAACGCCGCATATTGACTACCATTCAGTCACTAGCTTGAGATACCACAAACGCATCCTTTCTACTGTTCCAAACGATTGACGGCAGGCATTCTGCTCCAGAGGACAGATGTTTGAATCACAAAGATCCAAAAAGGATCTACATCAGTAATCTCTTGATGAACATAGAATGAACCTCAGCCAACGACTCCGATAACATAATGAGATCAGACATAAAAAGGATGCTTGCAATGACAGAGCAAGGTATGGTTTCCGATTAACTTACATGCTTCGTGCACCGTAGTAGCATCCTTCAGGTGCATCCAAACTATGCACTGCTCGCCCGTATATGGGTTTAGGATGGATATGTGAGACGCAGACTGGACGTAGGAGTGCATTGCTCGGAATTGTACACCCTCGGGACTATCAACTGGGATCTGCGTGTGAGAAGAGGGGAACGTAAAGAGAATTAATGCGAAAAGAATGATAAATGTGAACCAAATCAGAAAGAAAAATGAGGCGATCTGAATGTGACATGTTGAATTGTTCCCAAACTAACCCCAAATGAGGTGCCACGGGTGAGCAGAGGTTTTTAGGTTGGAAAACGTCACACTTATAAAGCAACACAATCACGATGACTTGGCGAATTCATCCCCAATGGGGACATAACCGACTGTCTCGTTTCATTTAACCAATAGGGGTTTCCAGGGAACGAGAATGAACCAAACTATCGGCCCATGGTTTGTCTGGAACAATCCTCCTGAAGTGTAAGTTGCACTTGAATTTGCAAGGGTCAGATATGCACCCTCGAAAGAACAAAAAAGGTGTCAGATACGCAGTTTACAACTTATGAGGATCATTATGAAACACTGCGGGTAATACAGCCGACTTATATATAACTAAGCAAGAGATAATGATGTATCAGCACAAGCAAATGATTGGTCACGCATCAACGCTGCGAAAGAGGATTGACTGCAGATGAGTTTCAGACATGTGGTTATTGACTCGACCAATTATTTTCGTCATCTAAACCGATTGATATGATGATAGTATGCGAAATTTTAGTTTGTACGAGGGTTTGGTTCTTTTGTAGCCTGTCATCTTAAGCCTTCTTGTGAGGTTGTTGACAATTTCCTTTGGACATTCCCTTTGAAAAGGAAGACAATTACACAAGGAAAAATATGCAACAATCGTCTAGTAAAACCTCATCGGGCTCTAGCCGGTGATGAAAGGACCCGGCGAACTCAGCGACTTTTTATACTATACGTCAGTGAAATGACTAAACCCCATAGTCACAAGGATCATTTGTCTGGTTATTAGAATTGGTTACGTATATACTGGGAATATCTGGGATAAATTTTAAAAAAAACAAATGAATAAATTCAAACGCATTTACAAAACCTCACAAGGACATCACACCGATTGCAAAGCGGCTTTACGTAAAAAACATACCTCGCAGATGTGTTCCCACCATTATCAGCAGCACCGTCCGTTCGCTTCTAGAAAACCTCGTAGATATCAGTGACCTCATTCGATATTGAGAATATCCCCAAATTGGAGTATCTTTCCTTCAGGAGAAATGACTAAACGAGAAAATAGATGACCAAATTGTCCTACTTGATGGGTTCACGACCTGGCGCGTTGATCGTTCCGTCCCATATCACGCATTGTAGGGATGCTTGGTATCACAGTAAAACATTCTGTACCGTCAATCTATCCTCCACATTAAAACACATCTATTCTTCAATGCAAGCCCAGATATTTAAGCAGTTACCCTATCAACTACATACACCACTAAATGCAACTCAATTTTCAATTTCTTTCTCTAGACGTTTCTCTTCGTATGATGTAGTGATTTTAACCAGTTCGATATTTGATTCTTATTTGCGTTAAGTTGCAAAAATTTAGTAACGCTCCCTACAATGATGATTTCCGCCTTTGATGTATCCAGCGGTCATTCTGTCAGACACCGTTATCCGTCCGTGGATATCGAATATATAAACCGTCCTATTAACCTCAGGTCTGCACAAAGGTTTGAGTTTTAACCCCCATCCCTTCCACGTACTTTAGACTACTCTTTGGGTGAATGATCCGACAGAAATATGTGAAGAGCTACAATCGTTGAACCCCCACAAAACTGGCGGACCAGATGGACTACAACTAATTACGCTAAAAGAATGTGCAGTGTTCTGTGCAAAATCTTCAACCATCGTATTTCCCAATTTTCAATACCGGATTGCTGAAAAACAGCCAGCATTAAGCTCAGTCCCAAGAAAGATTCCACTAACTTTGTCCCTATGACCTGTACTCCTACCACCCTGAAGGTATTTGAGCAGACAATTTTACGCAAGTTGCCCCCATAATTGAACATAATTGATTGCAATCATTTTGCCTATTGTCGCAAACGGTTTACCCACAATGATCCAGCTGCCTTGGTGCCATCGCTCGATAATTAATGTAAAGCTGNAAGAAACCGCTTTTTAGACTACGACGCCTTTGAAAGTACTGACTGATTTCAGCTTGTTTATTCTTGTAAACCAAGTAGTGTCTCCACGTTCTATTGCTCTTCTAAATGACTAGTTTTCCTTTTGAAAACAGTTTACAGGATATTGTAGCAACGCCTCCACAACCGTGAATTCCGATTTAAGGGTTCTTCACAGTGTTAGTTTTACACATTCTCTTGCTTTTTCTGAGCATATCAACAATGTTTTTGAAAAATCCCAAGGCTTTCGCTTTTACTCTACGCCTAAGGCGTTTGTTCACTCCCATCTGAAACAAAACTTTGTACATGCTTATATGTTATCTCCTTGGCTATATACCTCCTCAGTGATTCTTCCTGGTTTGTTACATAGTGATATGTGTGACATCCAGATCATTCAGACAATTATCCATGTGCTGCAGTTTACTTAGAACTCATAATCCATCCCATTTTTTCCCAATGCATCAAAGCTTGCAATAAAGTGGCCCATAAAATACTGTCTGATTCCTGACACCTCAACCCCGAGTTATCTTAATGTATTTCACTCTCCTCTATTGGCTCCAAGTACAAACTCGCTCAAGCACGTAACCAAAGCACAACTCTTGCCCACTTGCTACGTCATACCGAGCTGTATTTTACAGGTTTTGTTCATAGTTTTAAGCTAACTCCACCTCTCTCCGTTTGGCAGCTGGATTCGCATCAACTGGTACAATAAAGCAATTTCTGACGCTTCCAATAGACGACCATGCTGCTACAATTGTCTCTTTACTGGGAATCGTTGGGAAGCATCCAATGAGACAAGACGCGGTGATAAACTGGCAAACACAACCGTTTCTATCAATGAACAACAGGTGCTTATGACTATGGGATTAACCCCGTCTGTTGTGCATCACACGAGGGCGTGTAATAAAAATCACCTCCAATAAGAGGAATGGTATAGAAAAATACGATAGCGCTACTGCCAAAGTGTAAAGAAATAAATTGTATTCTTGATTTGACACGAGAATTTCTTCGGTGTTATTGACGGCCGAGAAAAATTGGTTTGCACGATGGCGATAGGATCAAAATCTGCAATATCCAGGGAAAATTGATTTTACATGACCAGTATTTCTTTTATCTAGACATATCCAGAATGAAACTTCTGCTCGGAACTACGGATACAGAGCAGGTTCTCTGCCATTCGGTTGTTGCCAAAAAACCGGGGTGAATGTTCTTCGATACCGCTGAGTGACCCATTTAGATGGAGTCAAGAGAGGATTGGAATTTCGAAAAGAGTCAAACTGAAAATAGAGGATTGATGTAAACTAAGGTTGTGAGGTATATTGAGTAGATGCATGAGCGCTACGATTCACAACAACCAGCGGTATCACTTAGTGTCTCTAATTGCTAGGTACGCTGGTCCCAAGGTCTTTATCCAGAAAGCCTAATGCGATTTATATGGACAAGTCCTCTGGTCACGGTTTTCACACCGTCCGTGACTTTTCACTTGCTTCGGCAAACATCGAACGCTGTGACAATCTATAGTCGAGACTGGTACTGTGAAGGTTGTACGATACTAGTGGTAACCTATGCACATTCTTGAGAGATGGGATCGAGATCCGTCAGGAACCAAATAAATAACCACCAAAAGTAAGTGACACTTATTTTGCCCACACGGCATTCAAGTACAGTTAAGGGTGAATTTCCAACAGCTTACGAATTTGCGCACTGGACATCAGTGTGAAAATATTTAAAAAAACTCGATATTGTAGTGCAGGACGAGTTCTTTAGTTAGCATACGCTGAACTAAGAGATAAACAATGTATGTGGATCTATGGGCAGAGAGGAGTTGAAAGTTGTTGCGCATTCGAGGATTCAACACAACTTTCGTGATGAAGACTATGCTATCTGTCACGAATTACACCTAAAACATTGAAAACCAAAAACAGTTTCATTCATGTGTTGTGTTGAAAAAATGTTTAGGGACCTTTAGAACAAAGTAAAATCGTTGTGCTTCACACCAGGGAGAAAAAAGAAGAGTAGCAAGACTATTGTAGAATGCAACTGCTCACAGATTTAGGAGCACGTTTTAAGGAACGGTTGTTTTTCTAAGCCTGTATACCTAGAACGATATACCGTAAACTCTTCGGAAAGCGGTTTTAACACTAAGGTATTTAATAGTTAGATGTAGGAATACTGACAATCGACAACGAAATCGGATGGAATATTCAGCAAAGTAGGATAAGAGGACCCAGTATTGAGACCGGAAGGAACATTAACACACTTGCTGGTGTTAAGCATAAAGACGAACTAGAGATTACCTTATGCATCACAGAGGTGTCGTTCGGTGAGCTTTAACATTTTCAGCAACACAACGGTGCAGGCAATTGAACGGTACTTAGAAGAATCTTTCAGGGGGATTGATTTTACGATTCAACAAGAGAGTATCATTCGGAATGAGGAACACAAACCGAATAGGTTCACAAAGGATGTTAAGACCTGCTCAGCGCATGCTATCAACAGCGTATTGGTAAATCGGAACCACGAGATGGAGTCCCGACGATCCCATTTTCTTATTTTGCTGCCGCTTCTGACAACTTCGAGGGTGAAGATCGACCAACTCCGTATATCGGACAACCCACATTTGCAATGAGGAAATTGAGTTATAAAAATCAAGTTGATAGGTCCAACCAACGTTGCTTGAAAAAAGAAACTACTTCTCCTACTTTTTTGTTTCTACAGATTTCGAATTTTCCTTTCTAATGCCGAGAAGGGTTTCTTCAAAGGTGGTCAGAATATAGAAGAGTAGTGTAATTTAGCTTAGTAATAGTAGTATAGCATAGAAGTATCGTACCCAAGGATAACAGCTTGGCACAGACGAAGACTCTTGTGAACAGGATCTAAAAGGAAGGACAAGGTGGGGGCGATGTAGAAGGGAAATTTATTAGAGTACAAACGAAAGTAGTAGTGATGCCACATAAGACACAGCGCGCAAATCACTTAAACGCCAGCTCATCAAGAGTCTGAGGAATGACCGCGAGAAGTGGTGGGTAGAAAAGTGTAAAGAGATGGTAGAAGCTGCGGCTATTGGTGATAGTCGTAACCTTTTCCATCTAATTAGGAATACGGGTCCAAGGAAAATAGGCGTAAGTGAGGTAATTAAGCAATCCGACGGCATACTGATTCACGATCAGCAACGCCGTCTTGACCGTTGGGCTGAACATTTCAAGGCTCAGTTCAACTGGCCCCCATCGACACCTTATCTTTCACTCTCCGCCTCGACTGGACAAATACTCCCAGTTGATGCTAGTCCTCCATCTGAAATGGAGGTATCTCGGGAAATAAGTTATCTCAAAAGGCATAAGGCCTCTGGCTCCGACGGGCTGTTCCAATCAGCCTTTAAGGATGAAGGCTCAGCGTTAGTCTTGGAGTTGACAAAACTCCTGCGTTCAATATGGGAAAGGGAAGAGGTTCCAGCTGAATGGTGTGAGTCGGTGATCATACCGATTTACAAGAAAGGTGATAGATCCTTTTGTGAAAACCATAGAGGAATTAGTTTAATCAACATCGTCTCTAAACGTCTTGCTGGCATCATACTCCGTCGAGTGTCTGCCACACGTGAACGGTGCACGCGTGAGAACCAGGCTGGTTTCAGACCCGGTCGAGGTTGTATCGACCACATCTTCACTCTGCGCCAAATTCTGGAGCACCGGCATTCTTTTCGTAGACCCACCATCTCTGTCTTCCTAGATCTGAAAGCGGCTTTCGACTCAGTCGACCGCTTTAAACTCTGGCATCGCCTTTTTCTGAAAGGTGTACCCGAGAAGTTTATTTCAATATTACGATTCCTCTATACTCAAAGCCGAAGTCGGGTCCGGGCTTACGGCACTTTTTCTCCCGAGTTCACCACGGAAAGTGGTGTTCGTCAGGGTTGCCCTCTCTCTCCATTTCCATTTTACTTTGTTATAGATCTGACTATGGAAACAGCCCTATCCTCGTGCGAGGATAGTGGCATAAATTTACTTCCAGGTGGCAGGCTGTCTGATCTGGAGTAT